TGATAATTGTCTCACCTCGCCATCATAACATCACCTTCTCTGTCTTTGATTTTGTTCTTTGATAATTGTCTCACCTCGCCATCATAACATCACCTTCTCTGTCTTTGATTTTGTTCTTTGATAATTGTCTCACCTCGCCATCATAACATCACCTTCTCTGTCTTTGATTTTGTTCTTTGATAATTGTCTCACCTCGCCATCATAACATCACCTTCTCTGTCTTTGATTTTGTTCTTTGATAATTGTCTCACCTCGCCATCATAACATCACCTTCTCTGTCTTTGATTTTGTTCTTTGATAATTGTCTCACCTCGCCATCATAACATCACCTTCTCTGTCTTTGATTTTGTTCTTTGATAATTGTCTCACCTCGCCATCATAACATCACCTTCTCTGTCTTTGATTTTGTTCTTTGATAATTGTCTCACCTCGCCATCATAACATCACCTTCTCTGTCTTTGATTTTGTTCTTTGATAATTGTCTCACCTCGCCATCATAACATCACCTTCTCTGTCTTTGATTTTGTTCTTTGATAATTGTCTCACCTCGCCATCATAACATCACCTTCTCTGTCTTTGATTTTGTTCTTTGATAATTGTCTCACCTCGCCATCATAACATCACCTTCTCTGTCTTTGATTTTGTTCTTTGATAATTGTCTCACCTCGCCATCATAACATCACCTTCTCTGTCTTTGATTTTGTTCTTTGATAATTGTCTCACCTCGCCATCATAACATCACCTTCTCTGTCTTTGATTTTGTTCTTTGATAATTGTCTCACCTCGCCATCATAACATCACCTTCTCTGTCTTTGATTTTGTTCTTTGATAATTGTCTCACCTCGCCATCATAACATCACCTTCTCTGTCTTTGATTTTGTTCTTTGATAATTGTCTCACCTCGCCATCATAACATCACCTTCTCTGTCTTTGATTTTGTTCTTTGATAATTGTCTCACCTCGCCATCATAACATCACCTTCTCTGTCTTTGATTTTGTTCTTTGATAATTGTCTCACCTCGCCATCATAACATCACCTTCTCTGTCTTTGATTTTGTTCTTTGATAATTGTCTCACCTCGCCATCATAACATCACCTTCTCTGTCTTTGATTTTGTTCTTTGATAATTGTCTCACCTCGCCATCATAACATCACCTTCTCTGTCTTTGATTTTGTTCTTTGATAATTGTCTCACCTCGCCATCATAACATCACCTTCTCTGTCTTTGATTTTGTTCTTTGATAATTGTCTCACCTCGCCATCATAACATCACCTTCTCTGTCTTTGATTTTGTTCTTTGATAATTGTCTCACCTCGCCATCATAACATCACCTTCTCTGTCTTTGATTTTGTTCTTTGATAATTGTCTCACCTCGCCATCATAACATCACCTTCTCTGTCTTTGATTTTGTTCTTTGATAATTGTCTCACCTCGCCATCATAACATCACCTTCTCTGTCTTTGATTTTGTTCTTTGATAATTGTCTCACCTCGCCATCATAACATCACCTTCTCTGTCTTTGATTTTGTTCTTTGATAATTGTCTCACCTCGCCATCATAACATCACCTTCTCTGTCTTTGATTTTGTTCTTTGATAATTGTCTCACCTCGCCATCATAACATCACCTTCTCTGTCTTTGATTTTGTTCTTTGATAATTGTCTCACCTCGCCATCATAACATCACCTTCTCTGTCTTTGATTTTGTTCTTTGATAATTGTCTCACCTCGCCATCATAACATCACCTTCTCTGTCTTTGATTTTGTTCTTTGATAATTGTCTCACCTCGCCATCATAACATCACCTTCTCTGTCTTTGATTTTGTTCTTTGATAATTGTCTCACCTCGCCATCATAACATCACCTTCTCTGTCTTTGATTTTGTTCTTTGATAATTGTCTCACCTCGCCATCATAACATCACCTTCTCTGTCTTTGATTTTGTTCTTTGATAATTGTCTCACCTCGCCATCATAACATCACCTTCTCTGTCTTTGATTTTGTTCTTTGATAATTGTCTCACCTCGCCATCATAACATCACCTTCTCTGTCTTTGATTTTGTTCTTTGATAATTGTCTCACCTCGCCATCATAACATCACCTTCTCTGTCTTTGATTTTGTTCTTTGATAATTGTCTCACCTCGCCATCATAACATCACCTTCTCTGTCTTTGATTTTGTTCTTTGATAATTGTCTCACCTCGCCATCATAACATCACCTTCTCTGTCTTTGATTTTGTTCTTTGATAATTGTCTCACCTCGCCATCATAACATCACCTTCTCTGTCTTTGATTTTGTTCTTTGATAATTGTCTCACCTCGCCATCATAACATCACCTTCTCTGTCTTTGATTTTGTTCTTTGATAATTGTCTCACCTCGCCATCATAACATCACCTTCTCTGTCTTTGATTTTGTTCTTTGATAATTGTCTCACCTCGCCATCATAACATCACCTTCTCTGTCTTTGATTTTGTTCTTTGATAATTGTCTCACCTCGCCATCATAACATCACCTTCTCTGTCTTTGATTTTGTTCTTTGATAATTGTCTCACCTCGCCATCATAACATCACCTTCTCTGTCTTTGATTTTGTTCTTTGATAATTGTCTCACCTCGCCATCATAACATCACCTTCTCTGTCTTTGATTTTGTTCTTTGATAATTGTCTCACCTCGCCATCATAACATCACCTTCTCTGTCTTTGATTTTGTTCTTTGATAATTGTCTCACCTCGCCATCATAACATCACCTTCTCTGTCTTTGATTTTGTTCTTTGATAATTGTCTCACCTCGCCATCATAACATCACCTTCTCTGTCTTTGATTTTGTTCTTTGATAATTGTCTCACCTCGCCATCATAACATCACCTTCTCTGTCTTTGATTTTGTTCTTTGATAATTGTCTCACCTCGCCATCATAACATCACCTTCTCTGTCTTTGATTTTGTTCTTTGATAATTGTCTCACCTCGCCATCATAACATCACCTTCTCTGTCTTTGATTTTGTTCTTTGATAATTGTCTCACCTCGCCATCATAACATCACCTTCTCTGTCTTTGATTTTGTTCTTTGATAATTGTCTCACCTCGCCATCATAACATCACCTTCTCTGTCTTTGATTTTGTTCTTTGATAATTGTCTCACCTCGCCATCATAACATCACCTTCTCTGTCTTTGATTTTGTTCTTTGATAATTGTCTCACCTCGCCATCATAACATCACCTTCTCTGTCTTTGATTTTGTTCTTTGATAATTGTCTCACCTCGCCATCATAACATCACCTTCTCTGTCTTTGATTTTGTTCTTTGATAATTGTCTCACCTCGCCATCATAACATCACCTTCTCTGTCTTTGATTTTGTTCTTTGATAATTGTCTCACCTCGCCATCATAACATCACCTTCTCTGTCTTTGATTTTGTTCTTTGATAATTGTCTCACCTCGCCATCATAACATCACCTTCTCTGTCTTTGATTTTGTTCTTTGATAATTGTCTCACCTCGCCATCATAACATCACCTTCTCTGTCTTTGATTTTGTTCTTTGATAATTGTCTCACCTCGCCATCATAACATCACCTTCTCTGTCTTTGATTTTGTTCTTTGATAATTGTCTCACCTCGCCATCATAACATCACCTTCTCTGTCTTTGATTTTGTTCTTTGATAATTGTCTCACCTCGCCATCATAACATCACCTTCTCTGTCTTTGATTTTGTTCTTTGATAATTGTCTCACCTCGCCATCATAACATCACCTTCTCTGTCTTTGATTTTGTTCTTTGATAATTGTCTCACCTCGCCATCATAACATCACCTTCTCTGTCTTTGATTTTGTTCTTTGATAATTGTCTCACCTCGCCATCATAACATCACCTTCTCTGTCTTTGATTTTGTTCTTTGATAATTGTCTCACCTCGCCATCATAACATCACCTTCTCTGTCTTTGATTTTGTTCTTTGATAATTGTCTCACCTCGCCATCATAACATCACCTTCTCTGTCTTTGATTTTGTTCTTTGATAATTGTCTCACCTCGCCATCATAACATCACCTTCTCTGTCTTTGATTTTGTTCTTTGATAATTGTCTCACCTCGCCATCATAACATCACCTTCTCTGTCTTTGATTTTGTTCTTTGATAATTGTCTCACCTCGCCATCATAACATCACCTTCTCTGTCTTTGATTTTGTTCTTTGATAATTGTCTCACCTCGCCATCATAACATCACCTTCTCTGTCTTTGATTTTGTTCTTTGATAATTGTCTCACCTCGCCATCATAACATCACCTTCTCTGTCTTTGATTTTGTTCTTTGATAATTGTCTCACCTCGCCATCATAACATCACCTTCTCTGTCTTTGATTTTGTTCTTTGATAATTGTCTCACCTCGCCATCATAACATCACCTTCTCTGTCTTTGATTTTGTTCTTTGATAATTGTCTCACCTCGCCATCATAACATCACCTTCTCTGTCTTTGATTTTGTTCTTTGATAATTGTCTCACCTCGCCATCATAACATCACCTTCTCTGTCTTTGATTTTGTTCTTTGATAATTGTCTCACCTCGCCATCATAACATCACCTTCTCTGTCTTTGATTTTGTTCTTTGATAATTGTCTCACCTCGCCATCATAACATCACCTTCTCTGTCTTTGATTTTGTTCTTTGATAATTGTCTCACCTCGCCATCATAACATCACCTTCTCTGTCTTTGATTTTGTTCTTTGATAATTGTCTCACCTCGCCATCATAACATCACCTTCTCTGTCTTTGATTTTGTTCTTTGATAATTGTCTCACCTCGCCATCATAACATCACCTTCTCTGTCTTTGATTTTGTTCTTTGATAATTGTCTCACCTCGCCATCATGGAGGAGGCTATCATCCACGGCCTCTACAAACTATTTTTAGCTCAGTTTGAGGTACCAGTAACTAGTAATAGTATATGGTTATGTATTTTTATGTCTCTGTAAAATTGTGTTAAATTTATCATTAAATATGTATAGCTGTCTCCAAGCCTAGAGGAACGATTAACCACTTCGTTGATAAGCTTAGAAGAAGAAATGAAAAGGATGATTGAGATGATTGGGTTGATGAAGCTAGAGGTCGTGGATGAGATGACTTTGTTAGATCAACACAAGCGTAAACAGGGGAGGTTCAAGCAAGTTTACAGCAAGTTGAAAGGGAGGGGCATTAAGGATAAACAGCGATTGCCACCAGGTGAGTGGAACAAAATCTTTCATCCACCCACACCTGACCCACATTCTACCTGACCCACATTCTACCTGACCCACATACTACCTGACCCACATTCTACCTGACCCACATTCTACCTGACCCACATTCTACCTGACCCACATTCTACCTGACCCACATTCTACCTGACCCACATTCTACCTGACCCACACTCTACCTGACCCACATTCTACCTGACCCACATTCTACCTGACCCACATTCTACCTGACCCACATTCTACCTGACCCACATTCTACCTGACCCACATACTACCTGACCCACATTCTACCTGACCCACATACTACCTGACCCACATTCTACCTGACCCACATTCTACCTGACCCACATTCTACCTGACCCACATCCTACCTGACCCACATTCTACCTGACCCACATTCTACCTGACCAACATTACTATATTATAGACAATTACTATATATATATATATATATATATATATATATATATATATATATATATATATATATATATATATATATATATATATATAAAATTCTCTTCATACGAGACCATGTGAGACACCACCATGTAAACGCAAGCTGCTACTATGAAGTACTGAAAAGTAGAAAATAAAACAACTAAATAGCGGCATATGTTGGTCAGCTCGTATATTATAGTATAGATCTAACCCACAAAATCATCTTTTTGACCTACAAGTTATTTGTTTTAAAAAGAAATTGAGTGAAATCAATGACTGGAACATAAGGTGTATAATCTATTTTCCAGCATTTGAAATCAGGAGCTGGACCCTAGAGGAGGTTGGTCAGTGGCTAGAGAGTTTAGCCCTAGGAGAATATAAAGAAAGTTTCTTTTCTCATGAAATAACTGGTGCTGAACTTTTAAACTTGGAAAGAAGAGACTTAAAGGTATTTCCTTTGCTTTTTTGTCATATGAAGTAGTTAGGTGTTGAACAGGGTTTTTTTTAATGGAATGTTATTTGATGAAAATTATCTGCAGATATTTTTCTGTATATTTAATTTTTCCCTAACTCAAGATTTGCAATAAGCATAACTGAGAAAAGTCAATTATTCTACAGGTCCATTACATATTTAAATAATCATGTAAAATGTTAAAATAAATATTGTTATAAAAATCTATTTGATTATTGTTGGACTTACTGAAGATGTATTTGATGTTTTTAGCATTTTTGGTAACTAAAGCAAAATTTCTTAAAAGCCCAAAACAATTTGTGTTAACATTTTATTATTGAAAATGAAAACAAGAATTTGGTTATGTGTTTTTTTTTCTTTTTTTTTTTCTTTTTTTCTATGAAGTTTTCAGAATATTACTCATGGAGCCAATCAATGTTTGTCTTACAAAAGTGAAATATTACGGTTTATAACTTAGGCTTGTTTAAAATAAATAAAAATGTAGCCTTAAACTGAAAAAATGATTGATTGATTCTAAAAATATTTCTGATTTATTGATGGCAAAATTGAAGAAAAAAACATGATTGCTATCTGTCAACAATAATAAAGGATATTTGTCCATTTTCATTTGATTTTAGTCAGCTCACACTTTTGCTATAGGCTTACAACATCCCTGGCTTCTTGGGCTTACAGACCATGGCCATGATGCGTAGCTTATATCCTTGCTGGCACAATTGTGTTCAAGCCTTCTGAGTCATTGTTGTGTTACTGTGTAAATATCATATTTTAATGTGGGTTTAATGTTTGCAATGTTTGGAGGAATTTATGAAGGTAAAAGAGCATTATTTATAGAAATGAATGTAATGTAAGGATAAAAAAAAATTAATACCCTACTCTAATTTGGTTACAGTTACAGCAATTTGTATGGACGCCCCATAACTGGTGAACTTGAATGATTTATTTTATTTTTAAATAAGTAGCATACCAGATAAAAAGGGTTTCTTTTTTAATCAGGATCTTGGAGTAACAAAAGTGGGTCACCTAAAGCGCATCCAACAAGGTATCAAAGAGCTTCATCACAGAGAAGCAGCTTATGACAGACCCAGTTCATGACATATTTCTCATTTACAACTAAAGAATGATGTCAGCAAAAAAAAAGTCCCTAATTTTCATCAGCTATGAAAATTTTTACTTTTTTAAGAACAAGTAGCCAAGCTCTTTCCAATTTGTCCTCTGTGATGTAATCAACGAAACAACTATGTATGTAAATTTCATGGCTTTAAAATTCTTTTTGCAATTTTGCATGTTTAATTGTATGCTATAATATTTATTGTGATGTCTTGTTTGAATGTGTTCAAAAAATAATTTAAAGAGCTTGTATTTATTAAGTATGGAAATATTTGAAAGGCAGTTAGTTATATTATTTTCAATTGTACTTCTTAGTGTAGGTATAAACAGGGCTTCCATTTGGGTTATTTTATCCTAGCTTTTGTTGTTACCAGATTTTGTCCTCTATCTGAGAATATGTAGATGCATGTACGAATTAAGCCTATGCAACTGTTATCGATTTTTCTTTAAATATTTTATTTTAAAGGTTGTTTTTGCATTAGGCTGTTTTTTTGTTTTTTAGCAGGCTGCAGGACGGCTATGAGTTATATGATAGTATTGATAGGTCTACCCATATGAATTCATATTCCATACTAGATGCAATTATTTACTTCAAAACTGCCGAGCTTTTATATTGTTTCTAAATTCTTCTGTACATTCCATTATTGGATGTGATTTGAATGTGTGCATAATAAGTTTTAAAACCAGCACAACTTTAGCAAAGCCATGACAAATCTAAGCAACTAATCTTTTGCATGATTATGTGAATATTTGCTTTATGAAGAGCTGCAAACTCAGGGCTTCAGACAATTGAAGATGGTGTGTGTGAATGATCAAAAATTATCTGCCACACCCATTTATTTTTACAATATTTTTACCCTAAATTTTTATAATTAATGCACAGATTTATATAAAATAAAATTCTCAATGTGTATTTGTGTTTTTCTTGCATAAAATGTTTAGGACAAATATACAACTTTTTTTTTTCAATTTTTATTACATCCATTTTTTAAGTTTTATGATACTTGAACATTTCATATAACCCTTTGATGTAGACAAAAACTGATCCATAACATTGCCCCCATGCCGAGCCAAGAAAGTTACTATGTAACATGCACACATTTTTAACAACCATACCAAGTTAACTAAAACTAATTTTAGTTGATACCCTAACAAACCTTATATTAAAAAAAAAAAACCATTCATACAACTTGAAAATTACATCATTTAAGAAATGTGTCCAGGCCTGAAATGCCTGAGCTAAATCAAGGTGCATTTTATAAATGCTCTATAGCAGTATTTTTATTTTCAGCACAACAACGTTACAAAGTTGAATTTTTTGTATCAGCACAACACCAAAAAAAAATATGACAATAACTGACAGTAAGAACAAGATGAGAATATTTAATGTACAACTTAAATCTCATTCTCCAAACTTAAGGCAAAATACTTTCATTTGATGCATTACTGACATTTCAAAAATGATACATAACTATGATAATGAACTTTAAAGTGGCTATTTTAAAGTAGGAAAAGAATATATTTTTAAAATTACAAACACACCCCACAAGGCTCTTTTAAACTAACTGAAAACAATTACAGCCCAAGTGAGCTTTTGAAGAATTTGATTTTTCGGCAAAGGGCTTGTTAGGACAGTTCAAATCTTGATGGCTATGTGAGGTTTAAAGTAGATCAGCAACATCCATAGGCATTTCCTCAATGGTAGTATTGTAAAACTGCTCAATGTCTCGCAATGTACGAATATCATCTGATGTAACAAAGTTAATAGCAACTCCCTTGCGTCCAAAACGGCCACCACGTCCAATTCTGGTGGGGAAAAATGTCAGTCATTTCACTATTAGAGAATACAACTTATATTAAACACTAAAAGTGGTGAAGCGCAGAAAAAAGTTTAGGAATTATTTAATATTTAAGGGGGGGGGGGGGGGGAAGGAGAAAATGGAATGATCTACAATTTTTATCTTGAAAAAAAAATACTATTAGCCCTTTAAAAATGATGCAGACATGACTACCCGGGCAATAAAAAGTAGGAATAGTACAAACAAGTGCAATGATGCTATTTTGTTAAACCAAAAATGAATAATTAAAATAAGAAAAAAAAAAAAAGCCTAACAGCAGTACTAGATATGAATATTATGTATGGTTTTAATATAATATTTAATATAATATAATGTATAATTAACCTAATATCGAATTTTAAAAAACCACCAATAAAACCATAACTTCAGCAAACCCTATTAGTTTGAGTTGATACCAATTGATCAAACTATTTTTCTTTGATTAGCCATCTTATAATGAAAAAATTAAAACTATCGAAAACTAATGCCAAAGGGCAGTAACCATTTATCCTAACTTTTTTTCCTTCTTTGTTGAATGTTGTTTAAAGAAAGTATTGTAATTGTCTAGAAAAATTATACCCCCCCCCCCCCCCGCGTATCCTATACAGAATATAAAGGATGTATTGTAATCATTTATAACCCTGCTGTGCCAGCATTGTCATCCTGTTGGAGACAGAACTCGACCCATGACAACTAAACCAAGTTGATAACTGACCTGTGAATGTAGTTTTCTCTATTTGCTGGTAGATCGTAATTGATGACTAGGGACACTTGCTGAACATCAATTCCTCGAGCCAGCAAATCAGTAGTGATGAGGACTCTGCTAGATCCAGATCGAAACTCTCTCATAATCAGGTCTCTTTCATTTTGGTTCATGTCTCCATGCTAAAATAAAAGGTTTATAATGGACTGACAAATAAAAATTTATTTTCAGAGAACTCCATGCTTGATCAGATATAAAGCAGTCTTACTTTGTTATTGTACTGATAGTTTAATATAACTAATATTTTAAAATAAAAGTTTATGTAACTCTAAAAAAAAAAACAATGAAAGTCCAGTCAAATTGAAATTTTAACATTAAGCTAATTTAAACTATAATTATGATCTAGTTGTACTCATTTTCAATTTAGGTCTTATATTCTTAAAGATGTGCATGATAAAAATGTATGTTTTGAACAGCCTAAATCTAGACTAATTGGAATTTTGAAGTTTTAGTTTATTAGATGGAAAATAAAACTGACCAGTTTAGCAGATATTAGAAAGGGTCTAATGTATATTTAATAAACTGGGAGTGATCTCCCCTAAACTGTCTAGAATATTCTTAAATAAAACAGGGGATGGCAACTCCATATATAGACATGATTTTTAATCCATTTTTAATTACTTAAACTTTTTTAAATAGAATAAAATCTAGAAATAAGAATTGCACACCAAGGGACTGCGAAACAAAATTTGTATAATAGTGCAGAATAGTACTAGTACTTTATAAATTCACATGCATTTTTTGAGAAATCGGAAATAGCAAAAATTACTATTTCCGGCAAAAGAAATTACTCAAAATTTTATAGAAGGCAGAGAATTAGATCTTTTACTTACATGTGAAATTTCATTATCTAGATGAAACAGTACTCAAGTTATATGCTTTTGAAAAAATGAAAGTAGAAAAAATTCCACTTCCGGTTAATGGAAATTGCTCAAAAGTTGACAGATCTACCATTTTGATATAATACTTATATATGAAATTTCACCAAACTAGCTGTAACGGTACTAAAGTTATCATTTTCACAGAGACACACACACACATACATAAGGACATGATTGCAAAACTTTTTTCAACTCAGGGATGTGTAAAACAGATTTTTTTTGCACGATTACAAGACTTTCTCTATACTTCGTATATACGAGAAAGTAAAAAAAAAAGAGTTTTGGAATTAATGCTCTTAAAATAATTTGTACTCAAATTATTAAAGTAACCATTTATCAATTATAGTCAAGCTGCATAGTTATCTAAGCCAGCGGTCATGGAGAGTTCACAATAGTTTTTATATCAGTAGGCCTATAGCCTTGATAGGTCATAGAAGGAACATATCCAGGGGTGCCACTCATTTTTTATGTGAATCCTGAAAATCAATTCCAAAATTGTACCAATACTGAAACTAAAATTTGAAATTTTTTAAAACCGTGAAATTTCATAGGGAATTTCAAAATAAAATGGGCTATTATATCACTATTTTTTTGAGACATTTGATTCATATCATGTTCAATATACATTCCTTTATAATGGATTTATTTTCTTTGTAACAAGCTTCAAATAAAAATTAATTTTTAAAGGATTTTGCATACACAAAAAATGTCAAAAAGAATATTTCGGATAACATACCATAGCAGAGACAGTGAAATCTCTGGAACTCATTTTTTCAGTAAGCCAATCCACCTTCCTGCGTGTGTTACAGAAAATAACAGCCTGGGTAATGGTCAATGTCTCATACAGATCACAAAGAGTATCTAATTTCCACTCCTGAAATAAGTTGTAAAGCAAAATAAAAAAAGTTTTAGAAATGAACAAGACTAGATTTTTATCACTTAAGATAGTGGGTAAAAAAATAGGGATTTTCTATTTGAGCAACACTCTCAGAAAATAACACATTCACTCTGTCAAAGAAAGTTTAGACAATGTAGACAATCCTCCTTCCCTGAATAATACAGTAACTGAGTGAAGGGATTCAGATTGGGCGTAAAAAAAAAAGAAGTCTGTAGGTGGAAAATTATTTTCTGGCAGGACGAAACCAAAATTTAGGAAAAGCAAAATGGCTTAGACAAATATTTCTAATTATAGAAATTTACCTCTCTCTCAACTTGCACATAAAACTGACGAATACCCTCAAGAGTAAGCTCTTCCTTTTTCACAAGGATCCTAACTGGATCTCTCATAAAACGCTGAGTTACTTCCAGGACATCACCTGGCATAGTAGCCGACAATAATATCACCTGTAAAATGATTTTTGTATGTTAATATTTTGAAAGTAAATATGGTTCTGCCAAAATTCAAGGAAAAATCTACAAAAAGTAAGTACTTAAGGTTCAATCAGCAATGTAAAAGACATGCTAGTATTAATTAGATTTATTTGTTCAGGCATAGTTACATTACTAATGCACCTGCTCACTGTATAACTCTTATGAATAAGCCAATGCAGTGGGTACTTAAGTGCTGAATCTTTGGGTACTCAGTGATATGTGGGAACTCAATCACACGGCTGACAGCACTGAATGCCAGTATAATGCCACTGATGTGGGTACTCAATAGCACTGCAAGGGTTATTTTTTCAGTATTCAACCCTACTGTATTTATCATGGGGCGAAGGTCTATGCTCAGTATTATTTTCATAGTGACCGTGAAGACCTTTCTTTGGTGGTATCCAGGATACTGGTCCACCACATCACTTTATGTAGTCTTATTTAGTTTATAACTTTTCATAATAATTTTCCAATGTCATTTGAAAGCTAAGTTTGATATATTGTACCCAGCAGCATGATCAATTATTCCAGCATGCTCTTTCTCCATATGCATAGGCAAATTCCACCTGCTGCATGGACCTTGAAGTTCAAAAGTGTACTGTATTGTACATCCTTCAATCATGTATAAGGGACAGTGAAGTTCAAAAGTGTACTGTATCGTACATCCTTTAATCATGTATAATGGACCGTAAAGTTCAAAGGTGTACTATATTGTAAACCCTTCACTAATTTAAAATTATACTTGAAGAAATGACAGCTTAGCAAGGCATCCCATTCAGCTATACCCGCTTGCTGGATGTTGAAAAAAAAAAAAAAAAACCCGACAAAGCATAATGAAAGTAGCTTCCTAAATTATTCTCATATGTGATTTATACTGTAAATATACATAAAAGAGTGAATAATAAAGCTATCAGTATTTTTAGTCGTAAAAGTGTACCACCTATTTAGTAATAATAATCAATGTAAGTAGGCTGAATTCAAGAACTTAAGAAATCTACAAAGCCAGCTAGTCAAGAGGGTGTGACGGCATAAATCCCCTGTTGTGGGATAGACAAAGACTAGTAATGGCCAGAGACATTTTTAACTGTTAGTTTAAGCCAGACACCACACATGTTACGACAGTTTAAAATTTTTTCTACTAGTATGGGTTTAACATTAATTCTGATAGTAACCCCATTTAGGTATCTAACCTACGGTAATCCATTTATTGCGATGTGAAACATGGTACCCCCCATTAAATTTTCACACTACTACGCGGACAGCGGCTATCTTCGAGCGTGTGATAGGAGTTCTGCTGCCCACGTGGCAACGTAAAGTATACGGCAACCAAGCACTCGTGTACACGCTGGTGTAGCGACCTTTATTTTGTTCTACAAATAAGTGGGATAAACGTTTTCTACCAAGTAAAATTTTATGTCAAACTCCATATAAGGGCATGTGCGTAAAAATAATGAATGACACTATTAAACACTGTTTCGTACGCTTTATACTAAGTTGAAACAATGCGTCATGGACATGTCTGTCAGTTTGAAGAATGTACTGTCCATCCCCTTCTCGCCATTCAACCAACGACCTGTTTATAATCTTATTGCGGCATGCTGTGATAGGCTTGACTGTATACGACATGTGTTAATGTGTATGCCCATCTCTCCACATAGAGTTTGCCAGCAACGAATGTAAATACTAGATGGGACAGCTGATAAGCATTCACTTAGGCCCTGTACTTGACCCTATCTACACAGATGTGTTATTCACGGTTGAATGAACATTGGTAATCTATGGCTCATCGGTTCTTCATGCACTATCCAGCGGTGGGGTGGGTGGAGGGGCGTGACTAGCCTCAAGCATTGTACCCAGTGTTGTGTAGTAGGCTATTATCATACGGCAATAAACTTGTGTAAGCTACAATTTAAGTAGGGATAGACTTTGTATTGAAGTGAGAAGACCGGCTAACAAACCAAATTTAATCTAGTTTGATGATAGTTGTTCTGTGAATAACAATTGAATGATAGGATGTGTAAGATATAATAGTCATTAATTCATTACCTGTTGTATACATATTTTCTGCTCACACAGAAAAATCTATCTAAAACTTACAACATAAATCAACGGGTATTTTATTAGCCAAATAATTCTTCCACACATAAAAAGAAGTCCTTTTCTGTTTTCTATAAGAGAAAACGCACAGTCCATTTTTCCACCTTTCTCTTCACTTTTTCTCAACTTTGCATTTTTACTAAAAATTCAACATTCAAATAGCTACAGCTTTGGAACCCTTTGTCATACAAGACTGAAACATTCCACAAGCATTCAGCATTATGCCATCTACAAAACTACGTTTGTACCTTGAGTTTACTACTATACTTTAGAAAATATTGATATTTATGTGGCGCCACCCCCTAAATTTTGCTCATAAATTTACGTAAAAATTTGTATTAAAAATTGAGTACAAGCTATCGCAATGAACAAATGTATAGTTTGGTTTGAGAAATCTTAAATCTTTCATCCGCTTTTAAAATCTCTTATGGGAACAAAGTAATAGCACTTTGAAAAGGTGTTAGTTTTCACACCTTTTAGCTGTGTCCATGGCAACCAGTACTGCTATTGACTGCTATAAATTTAACAACTGTAAACATATGAACTTATTAAACACCCAGAAATGTGTCAACATTTTTTTTAAAAAATCTATCCGTGGTGCCTATCCTTAATTCCAATAAATGGTAGTTGTAAAAAAGGACTTGGATAAAAACTAGTGCATTCAAACTTAAAATAATATATAACAAGTTTTAAGGTCAGTTAAGTAAAAAGCAGAAACGCAATAAATGTCACATCAATGTTGATTAATTCTAGTTTTGCACAGTAGTCAATACTGTGCATGTGCAATTAGAAAGGCTACAAGTGGGAGTCTTGATAAAAATGACATACAATGCAAACCCGGAATCAGTCAATTCAATAATCCTGAAATGTGAAACATCCCAGAACATTGGCACCCCAATTCACGAAATTTAGTTTTATATTGGTACATCTTCACTAATGTGTCAAAACAAAAAGCCAATCAAATTAACTAACTATTTTTGATGAAGTGATTTATCAAAATTACAACAGGATCACTACATATTATAAGACGAAATTTATACACAAAAGGAAAACCAAATTACCAGGTAATCGATCAAACCAAAAAATGTCAACTTACCTGGATCTCAGTAGGCATGAATCTAAAAACATCATAAATTTGATCTTTAAAGCCTCTGGACAACATCTCATCAGCCTCATCGAGCACAAACATCTTGATGTCTTTAGTGTTAAGTGCCCTACGATTGATCATGTCATAAACGCGACCAGGTGTACCAACAACTACATGAGCACCACTTTCTAGCTTGCGCATGTCCTCACGTACCAGGGTACCACCAATACAGGCATGACACTGAGCACCAAGGTAGTCACCCAGAGCCAAAACTACTTTCTGAATCTGAGAAAAAACATAAGCAAGAATTTTAACTAATGAAAATTGGGGTTTGGGGAGTTAGCTTCATTAGACCCATTCACAACCATTGCCATATTTTCATATTTAACATTAGCTCTGCTAAAAAGACTACTTTAGTATTTCTTTATTGCGAGGGGATGTATAGCAACGAACAAATATCAAAATTCTAATAGGGTTATTGCCCAATGCAAAAATAAAACCTCTTGCTGACTATAATTTTTAACATTAGTAACCTGTTGGGCTAACTCTCTTGTTGGTGCCAGCACAAGAGCCTGTGTGTTGCTATTGGATAAATCCAACTTTTCCAAGATGGCAATGGAAAAAGTAGCAGTTTTACCAGTACCAGACTGTGCTTGTGCAATAACATCTCGACCTGAAAGAATTTTATAACCATTTTAATAATGATTAATAATTCATCTGCATAAAAATCCATGATGTTATAAAGAGATTAGTGTAAAAGAATGAGGACTCGTGAAATATTTTGGAAATATTTTGCTGAAAATATGTAACTGAAAAATAGCCTAAAATCCCAGACCAAATATTTGAAAAAAAAAAAAAAAATTCCGAAATATCATGTCTGTGTAATTGGATGCAAGTTTACACATAACTGTTATCACATTAATTACCAAAATCGGCTACAAACATTATTAAATGGTGTGTAGCGTATTATGCAACAAACATTCTTGTCTATTTGATTAACCATGACACTCAACCCCTTTACAGGCCTAAGCACCCAGCTGTCACCCTACTATGTATAGTATAGTATATTTACACATAGTAGCGCAAGCCTCATCCAGGAGTGCCTCCAATTTTTTAAAGTGAATCCTGAAAACCAATCCCCAAATTTTACAAACCCTTAAGTCGCTCGGAATTTTAAAATAGACATTTTACATGGCCTCTTTTTAGACGATTGGCTCACATTATGTTTACGAAATTATGTTATACATAGTCCTTTAGTGGCAATCCCTGTAACAATATTTAATCCAAAATTAATATTTAAAGTTTTGTGTATATAATAAAATGTGTTTAAAATATGTTTAGACCCATCTCTACCCCAACTGTGCTATTCTACAGCCCCTCCCCAGTGTACCTAAACCACAATACCTTGTCTACAAATTTGTTTAGCAGGCCTTGAACTATAAAAGGTGGTCTCAGGGTTCATATAACATTTTGAAAATGAAATTCTAAACCTTTCCAGACTTTTGTTGAAAAATTCCAGACTTTATACATGTGTTTGTGACTAATGTATAGAATGATGCAACATATGTACCCTCATTATAAGTACAAAATAATGACATTTTTTATCTAAGGCATCTATATATATAATTCTCCTCTTCGAGCCGTTAGAAAACAAGCTGCAAACGCTCTCCCTACCTCCCCACCCCTACATGGTTTTAGTGAGCTGTGTTCACTCTAAATGTTTACAAGCAGAGCCAACGATTTTAAACGTAGGGGGGGGGGGGGGGGAGGGGGGTTATGGTCCTTAACGAGCTACTTATAGTGTTTTAAAGAAATATTTTCAATGTCAGCGTTGGTACTGTCGAATTCACAAATTATGAATTATTGAAAATTAGAAACAACTAAATAGCGGCGTATGTTATGCCGCGGGCCGGCTCGTTTGAGATAATGTTTAAATTAAATTCTCTCTAGCCACGCTGACAGAAAATGACTTTTCCAAGGTTATCTACCCCGCTTCCCCCAAGCTTTATATTATTAAAATAATTGACTAACATGAGTAAACCATTGTTTCCAACACTCAACTTGTTCATGATCTAATTGCATTGTCTTCAATTAAATAATTACTATTTAGTCATATAAATTAGGCATAATGGTGAGAGTTAATTACTTAGAAAGCATAATAAAGAGTTTTACTTAAGGCCTGCTATAATCGAGTAGCCTAGACTTACTTACCAGGTCTTAGATCTAGTAAAAAGTGTTTTGGAGACAATATGCTACTTAAAAAGAAAAAATTTAATTATTGGTATCACCCCCCCCCCCCAACAAGACACGGTGGAGGGGTCACCTGTGAGGTCAAACTATTTAAGACATCAGCAAGCCTGTCTAATACTCATAGCATGAACTATATCGCCATAGCATGAACTGTAACGAAACTTGTAATCACCCCCCCCCCAGCCAAACAGTACCAACTATTTTTATCACCCCCCCCCCCCCAGCCAAACAGTACCATCTATGCACTTGTGGTCAAGGTGAGTTCACACAAGTTAAGATATCAGTGACCTAGTTACATGGAGAGGCAGGTTAGTCTAGCCCCAGACGTCAGCATTTGCAAATTTCAACTTTCTTCACAAACGCAATTTGTTAATTCCAAAGTTAATAGGTAGAGGCCAACAATTATCCTAGCTTACAATAAGAGTGAGATCTTAATAATAAAGGGAAAAAAAAACTGCTTCACACGTGATACTAGTATAATCTAAGAAATTTTTTCAGATCTATCACATGTCTATACTTTGGTCACGGTAAGGTTTCTAGGCTATGTAAAAAAGTAGAGGTCGCAATAACCGATATGTTCGAGTGATGACAGGTAGAAAAAGGCTAGTAATGGTTAAAGACACATTCAGTCTTGCAAGATGGTTTCCAACTAAATATTACTGTCTATTGGATAAAGACGACTGCATCAGAACTTAAAAATTTAGTACCAATCTAATTTTCTATCAAGACTTAAGTTTTTCAGTCGTCTAATAAAACAAAAGTAGCGGTGTAAAAATTACCATCTACACATGCGCGAAAGGCTGTAAGGGCCATTAGTGTGTAGGCGTATTAAAACAATCCTCAAGTTTAAAACAGTCTTTATTTTTTTTAAATTAAAACTGCAAACCCAGAAATTTTAAAACTTAAATTTTGCAAATCTGGAAAGTGAAAAAAATAAAATTCTCAAATTTTACATAATTCTTTTGTACAAATAAAGTAGTGTTTTGTTTTCTGGGGTTAGTGCTATTTTTTATATCTATTAGTAAATTACTAAGCTATTTAACCCTTAGCATAATAAATTTGTATCAGTTTTGTGTAGATTGCTTTTTATTTTATTTTTTTAACGCATGCGATTATAGTATAGATTGGTATTTGAAGACAAAAGACTAAAAATGAAAAGAAAAATATACCTCCAATGCATGGCAAAATAGCTCTCTGTTGGATAGCAGAAGGCTTTTCAAATCCGTATGCATAAATACCCCTGAGCAAATCTTCCCTGAGGTTCATGTCATCAAAAGCATCCACGACTGCATCGTAGTTGCTCTATCAATTAGCAAGAGTAGTTAATAAAAGATCAAAAACGTGAATAGAAAATATATAAGAAATTGCATATATAAGAATACATAAATGAACCATATACCTCGATGACACCATCAGCCTCAGGGATGTACTCTTCAGCGGGTCCCTTGGTTTGAGACCTGTCTCTGGAATAGTAAACAAAAAACTTAATGAAAACAAATTCTTAAAATTTAGAATAGGGCTGACAAAAAACATTTTAGTGTTCAGCATTGTCTTGAGGCTCACAATGAACAGGCAGTAAATTAGCTTTTTGTATACTGAATGGTGTACTTAAATGTGTAATATGTTTTATATGCTTTTACCCAATATTAAACATTATGACCAAAAGCTGAGAAACTTTTCTGCACTTGAAAATCACTGGCATGATACACCCCTCCCCAAACAACACTGGATGGAGATGGAGACTTTACTTAGCATGTTCCCCAAAGTAGTTTCCAACAAGTGTGCGGGGTCTTGGTGAGTTCACACAAACTTATTAAAATCAGTGGCTAATTACAAGTAGTGTAGGATGTGTTATTCCACCAATGTTCCAAAATTAAATGGAAAGCAGAGGGCAGAAAATTTAGATTGTTAAGTTATACCTATATTACCATAGTTATTTTTTCTACTTTTCAGTAATTCATAATTTGTGAATTCGACAGTACCAATGCTGCCACTGACAATATTTGCTTTAAAACACTAAAATCCTCCTTTCCCCCTACCCTCCTCTTAGTTACCTCCCCTAAGTTTAAAATAGTTTCAAACTAAATTATCTGCCCCTAATAGCCGCCACTAAACCCGTCTCTACAATTGTAAACATTTAACGTGAACCACAGCTCACCAGACAATGTGTGGATGGGGGTGGTAGCGATATACCTAGAGAGGAAGAGTGGACTGCTAGGCGCGTTTACAGCTTGGAGTTTTCTAGGGTCTCCAAGAAGAGAATTACATGTATAGATACTATTTATTTACCCATTGAAAACAAAGTCACGACATCAGAAAAGGAAGTAGTGTTTATAGCTTTTGGTATAACTTAGTATAAGCCGCCATTTGGTACAAAAATGACATAAAAAACAGTCATAAATCTAGCCAAATGATTGTATTCTTGCGCTGCACTTTTTTCCGCGCCTCATTTTCACCAAAAAAAATTATAATAAAATGGCATTATTGATCATTTTCACCAACACATCTCAAAAACGCCCTAAATTATTACCAGCTAATTGTAGGCCAAATGTGTGTAAAATTAATGCTTTAGAGTTTATTATGGAAGCGATATTATTAATTTGAAAGACAAGAATACATAGAACTACTTTCACTTAGGCGCTGCCTAAGAAATTCGGCCAAACGTACATCTGACAATTCTTAGGCAGGCCTAAATAACAGACTTAAAATGAAATAGAAATAGTTCCGATTTCTATAATTGACGATGGATTTGTATTCATAAGTTTTATTCCTCTGCCAAGCAGTGAAAGCAAAACTGGACGCCATTTTTGTTAGTGCATTAGCCGTGAGATGGCACGAAAACAACAACCCGGACTAGTATGTACTAGTATTGCTAGGGTTATATTGCTATTTCAGTTACGCCTGCTTCCACCCCTTACCATGTTTACACTATACCCATTCAAGGAAGCTACTATTTGTCTGTATCGTCGTCCCTATACTTGTGTCGCTTGTCTGGTCGAATAATAGTCGTTGTGTTTATGAGGCTAGCGGTCAGACCCTTTAGGGTTCAGAGGTCACGCCAGCCCGCGTCTTCCGTGTCACATGCTATGATAGTGGTCTGCCAAGAAAGCTCTATTTTTGTAGAGCTGATTGGTAGAATCGGTTACACGTCTGACTTGAGGCATGGAAGGCGAGGCGATTCGGTGCCGTGTGGAATGGTAGGTTCGGAACCCGTCGGGTCTGTCTGTTCTGTCTTTACTTGGACTATATTCTGTACCTTTGTCTACCCTTGGCGTTGAAATATCACTTTATGTTTATATTGCTAATGGATTAAATATGGATGTCTATCATTCAGTGGTCAAGTTTAAATTTAAAATTGGGTAAATTTTAGAATAAGTAAGAAAATCTACTATGTACTGGCTTTACAGTTACAAGGACTAGATCTAGGTTTCTGTCAGATTTATTTTTAGTTTTGGATATTATCAACATTACGGGTACCTATTTTGTTCAATAATCATGTAGGGCCTAAGGTCTTAAATTGTAGGCTACATAGAATTTATAATAAATAGGGCCTAGGCCTATGTCTGATATATCCTTAATCAACAATGCATAGTTTGCATAGCTTAAAAGTTTTATTATGAACAAGATGTTTTGGTATTTTAGGTAAGTAAAATAGCCAATGTTGTCGCAATTGCCATGACATCATGCTAAGAATAGAGAAAAGAAACCAACGTTTCACCGTAGCTGTTTGACCTTTTTTTATGGTAAAAAAGAGTTTCGCATTTTAAGCAGTAATAAGGTCATTTTGTTTTTGTTTGTTTTCTCTGCCACTCAGGGAACTAAACCTGATTGGTAGAATCGGTTACACGTCTGACTTGAGGCATGGAAGGCGAGGCGATTCGGTGCCGTGTGGAATGGTAGGTTCGGAACCCGTCGGGTCTGTCTGTTCTGTCTTTACTTGGACTATATTCTGTACCTTTGTCTACCCTTGGCGTTGAAATATCACTTTATGTTTATATTGCTATTTCAGTTACAACGCCTGCTTCCACCCCTTACCATGTTTACACTATACCCATTCAAGGAAGCTACTATTTGTCTAAACCATTGAATTGGTCTCAAATTGTAAGTGAAATGGTTTGTAATGATAGTAGATCTAGAATTTAAATGGTAAGTGACAGAAAATTTTAATTAAAAATTTAATGAGAAAGTCTAGGCCTAATAGAGTGAAGTTCCACGCGCAGTTAAAACACTGGTGCAGCCATCACCTGTTTATCGTTTTGTATAATATTTGTTTGAATTCTTTTACGAAACTACCGATATCTGCTATACACATGTCCATTTCTAAACATATCCAGGTCAAATTCTTTTGTTTTTTACCTTCTGGAAGAGTTAAAAATTTTAAGTTATGAGGTATGACGTCGTAGGCGATTCTAGTTCCCCCTATGAAAACACTAGGTCCCAGATGAGACGAATAAAACCAACCAATCAAAGCTATTTATAACTAGGTTAACTATTAATAGCTTCTACAATATGTGCGGGACACTGTACATACGAAAGATAAAGCTAACAAAGCAAACTGAGAGGTGAATAGTGGTGGCCGCAGCTTGGGTAACGATTAAGGTGGTTTCACCTCGCTGCGTAACCAACGACTTGAGCTAGACTAGACTAGCCTAGATGCTCTATATTTCAAGCTAAGTCTAGAATCTATATAATTTCGAATTTTTTACTGTTCTAAATTATTTCGGTCATCTACTTCTAAATCTAGTTTGGGACCCTACCTCCAAGCATATCTAAGCAAATGTTACGTTATGTCTTGTTAGTGATCGTTACGTCCTTTATAATTATTATAGTAGCGTTCCTTGAGTCATCACTGGGTCAACCTTTAGGCCTAATGTGTCGTTAATAAATTTAATGAACGTGTTTTGTAATCTTTAAATTAATAATACAATCAACACGTTTAAAAGCGTAAAATATTTATTTTAGTAATTAAAATTGGATTAAAACGTATAAATTACGATCGTCACGCCAGCCGGTTCAAGTGGCTGCAGGAAAAAAAAATAGGCCGATGCTAGCCGGAAAAAGATATGCATGCACAATGGAGAGAAACTACGACTTGCCATCGCAGCGATGTTATCGATGGTACTGCACTTGCGTGTCTTTACAACTGCAGAACCCTCACGGCTAACACCAACCCTAATCCTATCCCTAGGTCACTGCGCATGCGCAGAGCTATCTTTTGCAGACTAGTCTAAGTGGAGACGGGGAGAAAAATCTTCCGAGTAGTCATTTCGAAAAAAATAAAAAAAGTAGCACTTCACTAAAACATGAATATCTCAAATTCTATGCGTCTGCTTAGGAAATATAAAATGATTTATACATCTTTTTATAGTAGAATGGCAGAGGAATAATAAAGACTAGTACTTTGGGTATGTTTCTGTGAGAAACGGTTACAAAATAGAATCTAGACTAGCACCCGATGAAAGTCGGGAGTTCGGACTATGTGTGATCGGCTGTGGAACTTCACTCTAGACTCTAGAAAATCAAGATTATTCTAAATCTAGATCTCTATATCTACTAGATCTAGAAATTGATGTCTAGATATAGAATCAAATCTAAAAATACGAATCTAGATATCTAGGAATAACTAGACTAGATCTGGATCTGAAACACGTGTTGTCTTAATTCCGCCATGAAACCATAACTAAGGCAATCTTGAACAAGGCAGACATGACATGAGTATTTTGGCAGCCGGGAAGGGAGAAGTAAGATTTCAAATGAGGAGAACATGGTTACAAAGCATACATGAAACAAAAATACGTCTGTGTTATTTTTTAAACAATTTACTATTTTATAGTCAAGCTTTTTTAGTTTAATCTTACCGATCTTGTTCAGTAGAGTTATATGACATGTTCTCCAATCTATGTATTTGGTGAAAAGATAGATTAAGTAGTTCTAATGGACCGGATCAGGATGCGCGTTAATACATTCTAGTTACAATTAATGTTATCCCCTTTCTTCTTTAGATTTTGAATACAATCAAACAATCATTAACCTTTTACAACAATTGCCTTTTCATTGACATGGAATAATATCATAAAAGTTTTACGAAAATAGAACTAAGATGAGAATTATTTTTCGGAAGTACTCCAGTAAAATTGGGTGAAATTCGCCCTTGGCCATAAGTTCCCTGACGTCATCGTTATATTAAAAGTTGTGCAGACCATTCCATTTTTTTTTTTTTAAGATAAATAGATTCTGAGTCTTCGGTTAAAATGTAAACTGAAATTAAACTGGAGCTTAACATTATACTTCGATGTCTCCGTATTATAGCCCCCTAATTCAATTGAATTCAGTCATTTATTACATAAACACAGGTTTATTTAACATTTTTTCCTAAGACCGCAGTCAAAATCATCTTTAATACTTAGATCTAATAGGCTTATAGATTCTTATACCTAGAATCTAGATCTAGATTTAGTCGTCAGATTAAATTCAGTAGAGGCACAGCCGTTAGATTAGATCTAAGCAGCATTTCTTCAAGGCACAATATATATATAGATCTAGATATATATATATATATATATATATATATATATATATATATATATATATATATATATATCAGTGGCGGATTAAGGGGGGTGCTGAAAAGGCTGCAGCCAGGGGCCCCCGAATTTTAGGGGCCCCCAAATTTCGATTTCTCAACTATAGCAAATATTACTTTATCATTGATTTTTTTAATAGCTTAGTTAAATTATTTTTTTAATGTCAGAAGTATGAGTTAAAATTTCACCAAGTATTAACAAGCATCACTTAATAATAGCTTTATCAGGGAATGTGCCGAGACAAGCGAGATCCATCGGATACTCTCTGATCTTTAATGTTTAATTTTGCCTTATTTAACCAGCAGTCCCTCTACTTGACATCGTTACCGATAGAAAATCTTTTGAAAACCATTTAAAAACACGTAGTGTCGAGGCTGAGGGAGGGTGGGGGTATTTGTATGAGGGGTTGTTTGCGTATTGTCATAGCGTAGATTTATAAAAATAAAACTAGACTGGTAGAGACTAATAAAGACGTGTAAAGTTGACGGTAGACGATTTGTTTCGAGAATATGTGTTACATGGGTGTTAAATTTGGGGAAAAAAAATTCATAAAAAACGTTTTAATAACAAGCTTTTATGTAATGATGCACTAAAAAGTAGAAAATAAATTATAGACTACTATTTAAATAACTATAAAGAAAAGCGTGGGTCACTTTAGTATCTATTGGATACCTTTACTAATGTTAAGGAAGACACCCACGCTTTTCTTTATAGTTATTTAAATAGTAGTCTATAATTTATTTTCTACTTTTTAGTGCATCATTACATAAAAGCTTGTTATTAAAACGTTTTTTATGAATTTTTTTTTCAGTACTTTACATGTTTTATCTACAATAGAGTTACATGACTAAAAACCATTGCGCGCCTACTGAATATCACGTTCAGTAGGCGCGCAATGGTTTTTGAACGCAGCCATTACGTGGTCGTGATGGCGCAGCTATTGATGACGCGTGTGGTGTGGTTGGCTAGACATGCCTACTAATTCGGTCCAAATTTTAATTAATTCATAAAAAATCAATTAGGCATCCAATTAAGTCAAATTTAGTTTCAGATTGCATTGTCTTCATGTCTTGACCCACGTGCCAACTGTGAATCGTGTCGGTCAAGTAGAACTGTCCGAATTTTCACTCCTGCGTTTCCGTCTAGACAGACTGACGACAGACTGACGACAGACTGACGAGGAAGTGAGTTAAATAAAAGCTTGTAAAAACGCCCCAGTTGTAGGAAGGGTCTGACATAGCGAAGTGGATGGTTAGACACGGACCGATGTAGAAGTGTTTTTTTTAAGTATTGACCTTTTGACCGAGTGGCTTAGAGATAAAAAAAAAATGCGAAACATCTTTAGTTCAATGCACATTCTCACCCGTATTAATTGCACTATGGGAATTGCCAAACAGGTCAAGAGAGAAGAAGCCTATAAATAAAGGCGTTACCGCTGTCCCGCACGGTAATACAAAACCGGATGAGACTCGATTGCAGGGCATGGCATCTACCCCCCCCCCCTCACACACACCCGACATGTCCCCCAACCTTCTCCCCGCCCCGAAGTTTCACCCATTAAAACATTTGAGTTGTGAATTCCTTGGAATTTAGCCATAGTCAATTTTTTCGTCTTGATACGTAAAAAATGTTTAAGGGTGGAGGCTCCGGTAAAAAAAAAACTTTTTTAATACTCGTTAGAAAACAATTATTTCTTTACAGCTTTATTAAGATACATGCGCATATGCATTTCCACTAAACAATGGTGGAAAAATATTGGTAACTATGATAAGGGCGGCCATCTTGAAAAATTAACCTCCTCATAGGTTTTCCACCATTCATAAAATATTATATTTTATTAATAAATAAATAATGGTTACTTTAAATGCTCTTATATCTCAATGTATTTTAACATTACATTAAATGTTACATTTTTTTTGTCTATGCAATGGCTTCTGTTAACCTTTTGTTTACTCCATTCGACCTTTATTTCTGGGAAGGCCTCTGTTTGTGATATGTCATTATATAAACTACATGTGATGATGTATATATATATATATATATATATATATATATATATATATATTTATATATATATATATATATATATATATATATATATATATATATATATATATATATATATATATATATATATATATATATATATAGAGAGAGAGAGAGAGAGAGAGAGAGAGAGAGAGAGAGAGAGAGAGAGAGTTAAGGGGGCCCCGGGAAAAGTTTCAGCCAGGGGCCCCGCTGAAGCTTAATCCGCCCCTGATATATATATATATATATATATATATATATATATATATATATATATATATATATATATATCTAATATATAAAGCTCAGTTCTGTATGTAAAGCATATGTTTGTCGTTGGTCTTGGATGGATTTAAGTGTTAGACAATTATCGTGCGCATTTGTCTAAAATTATGAGTTAAAAAATTACTATTGAAAGTTTTGGGAAATAATTTTCATTTTTCAAATTATAGTAATAATTGTCGGCATGTTCATTAAACACAAGTTTTAAAAAAATATCTTTTACAAAAATTCTAATTATGTCTTTATTTAGTCCTATAGCACTTACTTCCCTTTGATAAATTAGGAAAATACAATTACTTCCCTTTATAAAACCATTGCATTAGTGGAAAATAATTTACTTTTTATTACTTTGTTTTGGTGTTGGGAAAAAAATAATTACATAATTAGCAGGGATTGATCAAGCGCAAATGTTGTAGGTATTTTACGGATACGCTTGGAGTATTAAAATTGTTCATTAAATTGAAACAGGCGCGTTCGTTTAAGTGAGTGCAAAAGACTATGAATAAGTTGGGGTACTATAGTCGTTCATTAAGCTAAAACAGGTGATTCCGCCCCGGGCGTTTATGTTCGCGTTAGTGTTTTCTTTGTGTTTAGGTGGGTTTGCGTTAGTGGTTGCGTTTTGATTTGGTTCGATTTTTGTTCTTTCTTTTTTCGTTTTTGTTTGTGTTTTTTTGTTTGGGTTTGTATTTGTGTTTTTGGTTGGTTTTGCGTTTGGATTTGGTTTGTTTTCGTTTGCTTTTTCGTTGTTTTTTTTTGTTGGTATTGGTGTTTGTGGTTGGGTTTGTTGTTAGGTTTTTGGTTTCGTTTGCTTTTTTTTTGTTTTTTCTTTATGTTTGTATTTGTGTTTGTGGTTGTGGTTGGGTTTGTTGTTAGGTTTTTGTTTTCGTTTGTATTTGTAATTGTGTTAGCGTTATGTTTGCGTTTTGTTGTTTTGGTTGGTTGTGGTTTGGGTGGGCAATGCCGGGTTTATGATGATTACTAAACACACAGGTAATGGTCTTTAACAGAAAGGTTTTTTCACAGAAGCCAGAGCAGGGCCTGGCCGGGACGGCTAGTATATATATAAATTCATAAAAAAAGTTTTAATAACAAGCTTTTATGTAATAATGCACTAAAAAGTAGAAAAAAAATTATAGACTTCTATTTAAATAACTATAAAGAAAAGCGTGGGTATCTTCCTTAACATTAGTAAAGGTATCCAATAGATACTAAAGTGACCCACGCTTTTCTTTATAGTTATTTAAATAGTAGTCTATAATTTATTTTCTACTTTTTAGTGCATTATTACATAAAAGCTTGTTATTAAAACGTTTTTTATGAAAAAATTTTTCAGTACTTTACATGTTTTATTTACAATAGAGTTACATGACTAAAAACCATTGCGCGCCTACTGAACGTGATGGCGCGCCTACTGAAGGTGATGGCGCAGCTATTGAACGTGATGAAGCGTGTGGTGTGGTTGGATAGACATGCCTATTGATTCGGTCCAAATTTTAATTAATTCATAAGAAATTAATTAGGCATCCATTTAAGTCAAATTTAATTTCAGATTGCATTGTCTTCATGTCTTGACCCACGTGCCAAATGTGAATCGTATCGGTCAAGTAGAACTGTCCGAATTTTCACTCCTGCGTTTCTATCTAGACTGACGACTGACGACAGACAGAGGAAGTGAGTTAAATAAAAGCTTGTAAAAAAATTTCATAAAAAACGTTTTAATAACAAGCTTTTATGTAATGATGCACTAAAAAGTAGAAAATAAATTATACACTACTATTTAAATTACTATAAAGAAAAGCGTGGGTCACTTTAGTACTTTAGTACCTATTGGATACCTTTACTAATATTTGAGAAGAGACCCACGCTTTTCTTTATAGTAATTTAAATAGTAGTGTATAATTTATTTTCTACTTTTTAGTGCATCATTACATAAAAGCTTGTTATTAAAACGTTTTTTATGAAAAAAAATTTCAGTACTTTACATGTTTTATTTACAATAGTGTTACATGACTAAAAACCATTGCGCGTCTATTGAACGTGATGGAGCGCCTACTGAAGGTGAT